CAGTATTTAAAACTAATATTTCATGTTACCTTTGTCTCTTTTCACTATTAATTTCTTTTGTTTTTTTTTCCCCCATTTCTGYCATGTGAGATGAAAAAAGATACTTCCCTTGTGATATGGAAAATAGTTCCACAAAACACATAAAGGAACAGTAATTGACAGATACATTGGAATTAATGTGCCAGATTAGACTAATGGTGCACATAGTTCAGTGCCTTTTSTCCTGGAAAGAGGGAGTTCTGTGTGTCTGTGAATCTGGCACTGCAGGGTTTGCAACCCTTTTTTTTTTTTAAGAAAACAAACAAAAAAGACTTTTCAGTGGAAATAGTCATTGTTTCACATCTCTGTTAATTCTGAGCACATCCTAAGTCTGAGGCACTGCATCTGGTTTTGGCTATGTATCTATATTGCTTTCTCTTTGCACATCCAGTAAGAGTTCATAATTCTTACCTGAAATTTTATATCAGGCTTCAGTAGTATCACTCCTCACTTAAATTAGGAGGGCATGCCAGAAGTTCTGGACATCTGTGGACATCTGGACAGCTCTGGACATCTTCCTCTTGTGCTTCTTTGCCCTGTGTCRTTCTTGATTTTTTCAACTCAAGCTTATTTCGCGTTTTCCAGCGTAGCATAGCCTTCATTATGGTAGCAAGGTGGGCTGTAGTTGCTAGTTGTACTGTTCTTCTGGACTCCTACCTAAAATATATTTAAATATTTAATTAAAAATAAACTACTGATGCCTCTTGTATTTTACAAAAAAAAAAAAAAAAAAAGAAAAAGAAAGGGAAAGCAAATAAGAGAGGGCAAAGAGGTAGAGTAAGGAATGCACTGTCTAGCCTGTTAGACAATATCTATTGTCATCTTTATTTACCTAGCAGGGATCTTTTCGCATAAAAGATTGTACATGCTCTTGTCTTGCTGCAAGCTCTAAGAAAAGACAGGGTGCTTTGGGAAGAAATTCCATCTTGTACATAGTTTAAGGTAAGGAAAGAGGCATTCTCTAAGGCAAAATTTCACTTCTGTCTTCAATGTACAGCAAAGTGCTCCTGAGGGAAAGTGAGCTTGTGTGGACCTGGTGGGAAGTGGTCGGGTAAAATTCATTTCATTTGATCTCAAAACAGTGCTATGAAATAAACAATGTGAACCTAATATTCGCAGTGCAAGAGGATTCTTGCATAGTACATTGCATAGTAAAATTGCTCGTTAAATTATGATCAAGAAAAAAGCTGGGAGATGGTCACTATGCAGCAGGCAGCATGTGGAAGAAAGGCTGAACCTAATGAACTGAATAACACTGCTTGTGTTCTTTGACTACATGAAAACAAAAGTGCTGTATCACTGATACCATTATTATCATATGAGATAAGGCTAAAATACAGGCTGAAATTCCTAACACCCTAATTCACCCATCTATCCCTCCAAAAGAACAGGTACAAAAACTATAAAAACCTTGTATGAAGGCTTTCTGATACGGAAAGCAGGGACACGTTTCATCACTACAGTAGTTTAATGCACATGCTTTGTAAATTACCTGAGTTTGAAGACGGAGCATTGTGACATTGTGCAGTGTTGCATTTATTATTTTCTCAATTAGATCAAAATTTTAAAAGAAATAGCAGTAGTGCTGTTTATTACTCTAATCAGAAGCAGGGATTTTTTTCTTTGGGCTATTCTAAATATTATGTGTCCTTCCATTATGCATGAGCTGCTTTACTACTGTTCAACTATATTTGTTTTTTCTGCTAGTCATATTGCAACATCCAYCTTTTTTTTTTCTCAACATCAGCAGATATTCTACAAACATAATAAAAGTGTTGAAATTTACATTCTTATGAATATAATGTCTTCATACATGAGATGAATCCACTGGAAAAATTTAAAGGTTTTTTCTTCACTTCGTCATTAGACCTTTCACAAAAGATTTTTTTTATATTGCAACACTGAGTGTATCTTGTGCCCGTGAACATGAACTGCCTTGAATTTGTTTAAGACTCTGCTCTCAGTTCTCATTTTCACATTCAATGAGTTTCTACTGTTTCAGTCCAAAAGGGATCATTCAGTAAAGCTGTGTGATGAAACTAGTTGTATAGTCGAATCAGCTTCTCTAAAGCTCATTTATATTTAGCTGATATTCACAGATCTTGCTGTGAATGCTGCAGTAGTGACCTCTTTTTTAATTGTAATTCAGGAATAAATAACCAGATTCATGAAAGCAACAGATTTTAAAAATGATTGTACATATTTAAACATTTTATAAATATCCAGGTGCTGTTTATTTTCATTCATTGATCTGTGTTTTCCTTAAAAGGAAAAAAAAAATAGCACAGGGCTATTCATTAAATTACAGTAGTGATAAATGACTAATAAAATTCCACAAATTAGAAACCTAAGCTCATAACAAATTTGTAAATACATCAGTTTGTCTCAGTAAACAATTTGAAAGATTTACAATAATACAGTAATTTGAGCAGGTCATTTTATTTTCCTATCATCTTCTAAGATGTGTGACCAGGAGAGAAAATGCAGAATTCTTCATTTGCATCTTCCTTCAGATGGTAATGTAGTACTCCAGAAAGTGTCTTAAATGCACATAAAGGAAAAGGGAGCAAGAAGGATGCCTTGGTAAGACTAGAATCGGATAGTAGACTCTTGCTGTGCTGGAACAGGAGCGTCACCTCCCGTATAATTTCTCAGTGAGAACTGATATCGTGTTTGGTGAGCAAGAGCTCTCCAGGATTTTCTGGTCAGTGTCTCTAGTGATATGGATTGGTATGAATGTTGTTTACCTTATTGAAAATGGATGTGTACAGGTCCAAAAAAGAAGTTACCACCACCATGACTTGAACCAGGAAAATATAAGTTTTGTGAAAAAATCCACAGAATCCAGGGATCTAAGGATGGAATTGTTTGGCAGTGTTTGAAAATAAATGAGTAAAGCTGACCTAGTAAAAGGATAATGCACCTAACACTGTGGCATGGGCAAGTATTTCTCCTCAGTCCCACTCAATTCACTACCATGGACTGCACTCTGCAGTTGGACTCTGTAACTATGTTCATTAATATGGGACGCAGAAGACTTAAATCTTCCACTGCCTAAGAAATCTTAGACTTGCCAAACCAAACACCATTGCAACTAGATAGGGAGATCAAATGCCAAGTGCTCTAATTTATATCAAAATTTTAACTATTCCAATATTAAGCTAGATTTCTCTTTTCTTGGAGAATTCCCTTTCAAAAGGATCTAGGACATCATACTCTATTTTCTCATCTTCCTTATTCTTATACTCAAATATGTTTATAATTACTCTATAAGTGGAACTGTTTTATTGGAAATGGATTAAGAGCATCACACCAGGAAAGAGTAAGTGATTAGGGTACGCTCGGAGTTGGTCGTAGATATGGGCTAATGTCTCCTTTATACGCCAGGTGAGTGATCTGATCCCCAGGTTCTGGATTAAAATAAGCTGAAAAGAAAGTAAAAGAAGGTTTCTCTTTTGCTTCTGCAAAAAGAGAAAACAAGGCGTTCTCTTTATCTCACTCTCATCAAAATCATCAGATGGTGACATTGGCTTCAGCTGGAACTTGTGAGGCCAAAGCTGAGCAGGCAAAGGCTTGGGAAAAAGAAAAAACCTTCCAAAAAGGTAATATGCAAAGGATATCTTGGCTACTATCATTTGTGACCTATATAAATATTAATTACCTGCGTTTTTCATCGTAAGATTGTGCTCAGTGCAACTGTACTGAGAGAAGTTTGCTCCAGACACATTGCCGCGGGCACAGAACTTGCCTTTTGAACACTTCTGGAAGGATTTCACATCAGCTCTGAACAACGCACAGGTTTTTATATATATATATATGTTCAGAACAAATTAACAGAAATTTGCTATTTGCACTAACTGTGGTTTCTCTTCAAATGCCAAGCTGAAGAGTTCATTGCTTTTGTTCTGTCAAAAATGTAATCCTAATGCTGAGCAAAATCTATTACTGCTCCCTCAAAGCAACTACTGGTCGTTGGGTCAGCTCTGCTGCCTGCCTCCTTCCACCATCTAGTGGCACCGTGATCATACTGCTCTGCTCTTTAAATAAGGTGTTTGGAGAGAGAGTTCTACAGATAGTGATAGTGAGTATGTACTTCAGAAATGTAGAAATGAGAAAGGGAAAATAAATGCTTCATTATTATTATTATTATTATTGATTTATTATTAGGAAAAGCTAAATAATTTTTGTGAGTAAACTTCTGGGAGAATAGGACAGATTCAGTGGTAAATGAGTAACATGGGAGAAAATTTCTGCATGCTGTGATCTTGATAAAGGGCAAATCAGCTCTCTTTATCTGAATTTTTATGAATTCTCTTGTGGTAGTAATCAGACTTTAGCTTGAATGCTTCAGAATGAAGCTAGTCAATACTCTAAGAAAATGCCTACTAGAAATCCAACTGCTTGATTTGCAGTTTACCTGCAATATATAAAGGCTAAAAAAAAAAAAGGATTTAGAGAGATTATCAAGGGTAAAGAATAATATAAATGATGTATTTTCCTTTCAGCTTGTAAAGTTTTATTAAGTCTTTGCGTATTTTGTTTTGCCACAAATGTTTCTGTATCATTAGAGGATAAGAAGTAACATGTCAGTGTATTAGAAATTTTATGTTCGGAATGTTTTCAATCAAAAGGGATATTCTGTGTAATTATATGACTGAAGGAACATGAATCATTTCAAATGTGTTCTGTTCTCTGAAATGAGATTTATTTTTTTTCCAACATGTGCTGGTTGTGATGAATTAGACTACAGAAGGAACCAAATTTCTATCAAATTCTGAATCAAGTACATATTTCCCTTTCCAGTTATAGTCAACTGACAAGGCAAATGGACAGAAACCAGACTGTAGAATTTCAGCAGCTAGGATGTCCGGTTTATATTTGTTTGCTTGCTTGTTTTACCTTTTAAACATGTACAGTTGTGTATTCTAGTCATACGGATAAACTGTCAACATATTTTCCAGGGTGGAAAAATTCCCATAAGATGGACTGCTCCTGAAGCTATAGCTTACAGGAAGTTCTCTTCCGCAAGCGATGCATGGAGCTATGGGATTGTAATGTGGGAAGTGATGTCCTACGGCGAGAGACCGTACTGGGAGATGTCCAACCAGGATGTAAGTACTACACAGGACTAATCTGTCAGTTTGTTGAAATGCTCCTTGAAAAATTATTATCACTCCCTATGCTGCTTTACTTCCTCATTAACTTCTTACGCTGGGATCTCAACTTATTTACATCAGCATAACTCTGTTGGCTTTTATGGAATGGTTTATTTATGTAAGGTTGGGACTTGCATAAATAACTGCAACCCTGTATAACTGAAACCTTGACTAGCTTCTTTTTAAGGATTAAAGACACATTACAAAGAGTCATAGCCAGCTTGCCAGTATCTGAGGCTGGATATATGTGGCTTTCATCCAAATCACTAGAATCTGCATCAGATAAGCAATTTGATTCAGTTCTCAGTTAAGCCATAAATCAAAACTTGGGGGAATATTGGAACTGTTCTGGTGATAAATTTGCCCCATTATCTCCATTACTGTCTGAAAATGCCCTTCAATGGGCATACATTGATAAAATCTGTAAGAGTAAAGGTTAAACTGCCATGAGATATGTTTTTATAAAGTAGCCTTTCTAAGAATTAAATGTGTTCTGCTTTCTTTAAAATATTAAAAATTACAACAAAAACTATAGGCATAGCTACAGTGCAGGACAATGTAACCTCATAGAATCATATGATATTTTCTACTGACATTTCTTTGCAAAAGTTGTAGCCAAATAAATCTTCCTGATGATAAACCACATTTGCTTTTAGTATGGTAGAAAGCTTGACCTAAAAAAAGCAGCCCTGGAAAGGAGGAGTGTTTTCTCTCTCTCTCTTTCTCTCTCTCTTTCTCTCTTCCCTCCTTCCCTTCTTCCCCTAATGCAATTTATTTTTTTAATCTATTCTGTTATTTGGTGGGCTCCCACCACAGGTAAATCTGGCATACTCAGTCCTCACATCAACACTTAACCTCCGTGTAAAAAGGCAGACCACCAACCGTCCCATCTTAATCTCTTTCACATCAGTGCATGGAAATGAAATACTTCTGCCTTGGTTCTGGAGAGCTGACATGGCTTTTCCCAGATGGCTGTTTTTATTATCACTCTAAGTTATTCCGCTGTTCAAGTCTGGCTGCTTGTTAAGGCTGATCGGTCATTTGGGGATAAGGATCTGAGAGACTTTCATTAATTTCGGAGTGCTCTAGAAAAACAGTAAACAAACAAAAAGCACAGAAAAGACCAGCAGAATTAGTAAAACCTTATTTCATTTGGATTTCTGTTCTAGAGCCCCACTACTACAATAACCCTACTTCTCTCCAACGTACCTCCTCCTACTCCTTGGCACAGACCACCTCTCCTGTTCTCCCCTGGCAATAACCTCTGCTCTCCATCCCCTCTCCACTCACCTACCAGAGAGCAGCCCAGTGGAGCCGTGCTCCCTGAGCACTCACTAGGTCTGATACACTGTGTGCTGCATCTGTCTTTAAGCCACACTTCTGTCGATGAACCCGTCAGTGGTTGCTGGTTGGCCATCTGAAGAGAGCAAGTAACAACTGGGCTGAGGTAGAGGGTTGTCCTCAGTGCAGACATTAATTCGATACTCTCTGAACTAGAAACACATCATTAATCTATTAATCTATATCCATGGTAGACTTGTAGATGGAAAACAATTCTGTTTTCCACCGATGGCAATCTGTAGGCGTTGGAGATGACCTGAGGTAGCTGAAATCGCCACATGAGGCTGACACAGGACTTGCAGGAACCCCTTTGGAACAAGAACTAAGGGCCAGGCAGTATGCCTTACAGAATTTAAAATTAGACAACTGAATTAAGACCAGTTTGTCCCTGGGGCACAGCGTGCAATCATCTGTGTATAGATTTTTCCAAAGTAAATCTCTGTTTGTTGTGACCAAGTATATTGCCAAGCAGCTGTGTGCCTTGGCCAGCTGCTGATTTTCACTCAAATTGTTTAAGTGAGCCAATGAGCTCAAAGTTATTAGAAGAAGATGAACAGATAAACTCAAACTGACAAGATGAGCACCCCAGCTATTTCCTTGCCTGAAGTCACTTGTCAGCTCCTAAGATGCTGTCGCTTACGAACAATACTTTAAGACAAATCAACGTTTTTTCCCCCCTTAAAAACTCACACGGTTAGGTGTGTTGTTTTAGCAATTGATTGCTGAAGTGCTTGGGCATCCCTGTGGCATACGTAGTCATGCAATAGCAGTTCTTGAGCGAAACTTCCCACCTGAAGCAAGGCTTAAAYATAGTCATGGCAATATCAGCCTATTCAACATGTCTACACTCTCGCAAACCCTAAATACTCTGCATTGCAAGGAATGCAGTTTCTATCAAAATACACTTCTAGCAGGTAATYACCTGCTTTCCCAAGCTGGTAGGTGGGATAGTTGGTTTCATTGTGAGCCGCCTTTTAGGGGAGATTGGACAGAGCATGAATCYGGGAAAAAGGCACTAGCACATCAGCACTCGCTTAGTGATAAGTAAAGTGGCCATATGCAGCTCTACAAGGGAGGCTCACTGGGCTGTTCCCCTTCTCTTACGTCCCAGGCACTGCTGCCTGCTTAAGGGACTGGGCTGCTCCTAGAGCAGCAGGGCTCCCAGTCCTTTCTGCTGTCCGTGGTGCACCCCATGAGCGGTATTATGGACAGTAGGATTTTGCTTGGTTTTCCTGACCACATAAAAGATATATTTCTCCCTTTCCTCTGCAGTACCCTGTCTATGGGGCAGACACAGCACCAGTGCTTCCAGCYGCAGTGGCTCTTCCCTGTAACTCCTTCTCTGCCCTGTGTCCTCCCACTCTGCTTGTCTAGCCCCAGGTAGTTGGCAGCTGTTGATGTCTGCAGCCTGAGGAGGGAAGAGAATAGTTTCCCATGCTGTCGTTGTGTCTCACTGCCACATTGGCTTATGCTAAAACATGAGAGGAGATTCAGTCTCTGTTCCCRCTGAGAATGGTTTCACTGGAGTCAGAGGGACTGCTGTTGACTTTTTTGCTTTTCCTGCCATCATAAAAATTCTCTTCATGCTGACTCCTCACCCATCCCAGCTCGTGATTGCTTCACTACTAACGCTGCTAACTGGGAGTGGAAGGACAGAGAGACAGAGAGACTCTGTCAAGTCTGTCCAGCTTTAAAGACCCTCAGAGAGACTGCATTTGCCAGGTGAGAATAATGCCCCATGCAGAACAGCAGTCTGTCTGTCTTCCCTTTTCTCTGAGAGGCCTCAGACGGGCTTCAGGAAAGGGAAGACAGGCTCCAGACTACCCTCTTAACCAAATAGGTTAAGGTTGTGACAGAGAGGGGAAGAGGGTCGTCTTCCAAACCAAATACCTAGGATGTATTTGGTTGAGATCGTGCCAGCAGTGAGAGTTTACGACGTGCCCTCCCAATCTGATGAACAGACTGTACTATATATTAACTATTCCATTATAGCATAGGGATATGACAATTTAATTATTTCTGCATCCAAAATGTAAGTATCTTTTAATGCAGAAGAATGATGTGGGCCCTATGTGCAAATGATGAGGACTCCTGAGCACTTTCCCTGCATTTCCCCAATGCCCAGCACAAAGAGCTGCTCTTCTCCAAAGCCCTACCCCACAGGCTTTCCACTCTGAAATGTTAACAGTGAGTGCCCTGTTAACACTAAATGTTAACATTTAGTGACTGAAAATGGCATTGGAAAGTGTCAATCTACTAGACATATTGTAAATCTTACTTTGCTGCATATTCTGACGTATGTTTTACTACAATAAATGACTCTGAATTAACATGAACTTATTTTGCAGAAATAAAAGTACTGTCTGAAAAGTCAGTGGTACTGCACATATAGCAGGGAAAGTAAGAGAAGGGCATGCTCTAAACAGATTCATAAAAGACATTATGCAAATTATTGCTAATAATGTCTTGTATAGGTATAGACACAGGTTCTACTATAGCAAAAAATCTGCCAACAYTAACATTAAAGCACTCCCAATTTCTAGGATTTATGTTCTGATCGTAATAAAACTCTGCTTTAGCTAGCAATAAAATACTTATTTAATTGGGTGGGGACTTTTATAGAGTACTAAATGTTTTAGAGGTATAAACTCCACAGGCTTTAGGTAGCTTTTTATGTTCTATCTTATATATTGCTTTTCTATATAAAAAAACTTTTGGAAATAAGTTCACTTAATAGCCAATAGCTAAACAAGTGATGTTTGAGATAACTGCAGCTGCCTGTTAAAAGTTCATTTGTTTTATTTATACCATACAAACATCTATCTATCTCTCCCCAGAAGGAAGAAAGGGCAAGTCAGGTTCGGGTCTGCCTGATGCTGTGCCAATTTACTGTATGAACAGATCTTCCATCAGATGAACACTAGGGCTGAACTAACCCTATAGAGAGTCTTTTCCCTCATCACTTCCTCCGATGACAGAGATAAATCACTAGGAATGATCCCAGGTAGCAGAGCCAATGCAAAGAGAAATGTTAAATTGATGCTTGAGTAGAAACACTCTGATTTTCAGAGACCATAATGRCTCAAACCTGTCAGGTCAATACAACACCTTTGCAAACCAGTGTCCTCTTTTCTTTTCCTAAACAAGGATTTGGAAGCTGAACTTTAGGCAACTGAGTTTGAAAATGTCTCCCATAAGTTTTTTAGCACTGTGAACAGCATAATGTACAGTCTGAAAATGTTACTAACTTTGAGAAATGTTCTTGTTTAAGTAAATAACCGTTTTATTATTGTGATAAGTCACTTCAGACTTGTATTAGTGCTGATTAATGCACTTCTTRGATGTGTGGCAGGCACCAGAGATGTCCATTAATTAGGGCTGCTGCACAGTCTGYCATGTCTTATTGCTTAATTAATAAACATTAGCTAAGATATTGAACTTTCCAAGGAAAGTAGTCTGCTGATGAGCAGATTGTGCTGAGAGCCTAGCTTGCTAATGCTCGTGTGAGGAAAGGAAGATTGATATTCAGTACATTTGGTTTGTGGAACAGCTGTGAGTGAAGCCTCCTGGGACACCTGTTAGAGGCCATTGTATAAATTATTGCGTGTTGCAGA